TCTTGCGTAAAATATTTACAAGTTTGTATATTTTCAACTATTTTTCTCAAGATCTGTACTTATACCATATGCTAATTAAATCAAAGATGGAAACATTTTTAAAATGAAACCATTTTACGGAATAAATGAGCAGTAATATCGCGCAATTATCAATCTTAAGATTTCCAAAGACCGATTCCAGTCCTTTACGTTTCCAAGCTAATTAAAATTAATAAACAGCAGCTACGAGTTAATGAAACAATGTAGCGATCCTAACGAATAGCTTACGAATTCTGACACAGAAGCTCGACTCGTAACAAATTAACAAGCCCGAAGAAAGAAAGACTACAGAAGCTCAATTCTCGACAGGAATAATGAGCAGTGTATTAAAAAGACAAACGTGACACGCGCAAAAAGAAAATTGAACTATCAAACGATTTCTAAATTGGTTGAAAAGGAATGCGATCCGGCTTCGTTTGAAGTCGCTTTCATGGTAACGAAAAATTTCAAAGTAATTGCATGACACAAGGAAAGCTTTAGCGAGAGCTTAAATTCCCATCTTTGTTCCGATGAAGAGAAACTCTTTAAGCGCTTACAATACCGCTTAAAAAGCTTCCTTTAACCGTGATACACTTTGTATCGCAAGAATTGCGAGCCAAAATGTCTATAGCAAAGATCGCATAATGAGTTTGTTCCTTTGTTTCGTCCGCTAAATACTTTGTTGACAAACGAGATTAAGGTGAAAATGTTGCACGGATATTTTGCTGATGGTGGATTGAGATTTGGAATTTTTTAGATTTGGGACTTGAGGATTTGGGAATTTTGGGATTTGGAGATTTTGGGTGTTGGGAGATTTGAGAGTACGGAAGGTTGGTTATTTGGAAATTTGAGAATTTAGGGCGTGGAACTTTGGGAATTTAGGGATTTAGAGATTTGAAAATTTCGGAACTTGGAAATTTGAGAGTATAGAAGGTTGGTTATTTGGAAATTTGAGAATTTAGGGCGTGGAACTTTGGAAATTTGGGAATTTAGAGATTTGAAAATTTAGGAACTTGGAAATTTGAGAGTATAGAAGATTGCTTATTTGGAAATTTGAGAATTTGGGAATTTAGTAAACTTGAGAATTATGTAAATTATATTTCTATCAAATCTAAAAATGTGCACCTAAATTCCTCTTATCGATCCTTTAATACCATATAAATTTTCCTCCAAACACACTAAATTCTCTACAAAATACAATTGCAGCGTTTCTATTATTTTTCAAATAAATTCCAACAACTGTAAAAATCCCTTTTCCCGAAAACTATCGCCATAAAATATTTTGACTATTCGATCGAGACGCATGGTCACAGCAGGCAAAAGCGTTTACTGGCCAAAAAATGCAGTTGCCTCGGTTCTCGAGCTGGATTTACAAGCGGGATTAACCTAATGGGTTAACCGTGTAAACGCGGATTCGAGTCAGGAGAGAGGAAGATCGACGATAAACCGAATGTGTCGTGTTCTAGTAGACTCGCGTATATATCCTCAGGGATAAAAGATCGTTTTCAGCTTTGGTAAAATGTATCGGTGCTCTATTAACCCTCATAGAATTCTGCAGATTACAGCTGCACCCGATATATTCTCCTTTCCTATAACACCGATCGAATAAAATTCTTAACTGTATTTTTTAGTAAAGTCAAATCAAATCAAATTGTTCTACATAGTAAAAATATTAAAAGTTACAAAACTTGTAAACTTGAAAACATACCAAAAATTAAGACACGAAAATCTAGAAAATTTATAACTTTATCAACCCAAATTAAAAAATTTCTAACCCCTTTTCGAAACTATCGTTCTATCTTTATTCCGCGGCAATCGCCAGCGAATAACAATTTGCAGTCATAACCTTATTTAACCCAGCATATCTTTCATGTCTCGTATCGTTAAAATTAATCTCTTTACGGGGTCGCGAACAAAGAACGGCGATATAACGTGCACGTATACAAGATCAATGAAACGATTGCACGTCGATAAGGAGACATAGCGACGAAACTGTGTCATTATTAAATAAGGCGTGGCGAAAGAAACGAAGCAGATAGTCGTTGGTTATCTCAGGATGGCCAAGGAATCATGCATAATTCAGTGAAAACTTGAGTTCCCTGCTGGGATACCAAATGAACGAACGACCATGATATCGGTGCATCGTGTTTCACGGAGAATAACGGCACTACTTTCCTTTGCTTCTCGTCACGAACTGCTCTCCGTAATCTTTACCCAGCCATTAACGTCGAACAACTTTTTATGATGCATAGGAACATGATACCCTTCGAGGAATGAACTTCGGATGCATTTAGAAACATAGTTGACCTTCGTTTAACCTTTGCGCAACAGGGATCATACATGATACTACGTCATATTGCAAGAATTCGTATTGGACTTTTTTCTTTTTGAATTTCTTCAAATTCTTCACCTTCATATGTTAGAGACACAATATCTACAGTTCAGTGTTAACTAATATATGAACAGTGTACACCTTTTGATTATTTGAGATATCCACATTCACCTAATAAAACAATAAAGCCATCACTATTCACAAATTTAAGTGAAATTACACATAAGTGATTTTATCCATATGAGTATGTAGAAGTGACCCACATGAGTATCTAGAAGTGATAGCCGCTTGAGTATGTAGAAGTGATAGCCATATGAGTACGTGGAAGTGATCCATATCAATATGTAGAAGTCATCCACATGAGTATGTAGAAGTGGTCCACGTGAGTGTCTAGAAGTGATCTGCACGAGTATGTAGATGTGATCCATATAAGTATCTAGAAGTAACCAATATGAGTACGTAAAAGTGATCCACATAAATACCTAGAAACCTACATATGTCCTATCCACATATGTTTTATCCACATTTGCTCTATCCACATATGCTCTATCCACATATGCTCTATCCACATATGCTCTACCTACGTATGCTCTATTCACATGAGTATGTAGAAGTGATCCACATAAGTATCTAAGAATGATCCACATAAATACCTAGAAACCTACATATGCTCGATCCACATATGCCCTTTCCACATATGCTCCATCCACGTATGCTCCCTCCACATATGCTCCATCCACATTGCTCTACCTACATATGCTCCATCCACATGAGTATGTAGAAGTGATCCACATAACTATCTAAAAATGATCTGCATAAATACCTAGAAACCTACATATGCTCCATCCACATATGCTCCATCCACATATGCTCCATCCACGTATGCTCCCTCCACATATGCTCCCTCCACATATGCTCCATCCACATTGCTCTACCTACATATGCTCCATCCACATGGGTATGTAGAAGTGATCCTCATAACTATCTCAAAATGATCTATATAAATACCTAGAAACCTACATATGCTCTATCCACATATGCCCTATCCACATATGCTCCATCCACACATGCTCTCTCCACATATGCTCCATCCACATATGCCCTATCCACATATCCTCCATCTACATATGTCTGCCGCAAACCTCGCCAAATCCCAAAAATACCGTTTTCTGATACCAAAATACATAAAACCCTTCGGTTAATGCAAAATATAGCATAATCAATGTCCGTGTCATAAGCACGATATTCATAACTCGGTGTTCAACGACGCGCTCAGACGCGCCAATTCTCGTAGCTAGCCGTTATTTTCAAGGTAGCCAGCGGCTTCTTCTCCAGCGTGAAATTATAAGCGTCGGCGTGCGGGTGCATTTTATACGAGCCAGTGCGAAACTACGCTTACTTCGTCGAGCTTACTTAAGGGATGGAACATGGCGTGGTCGCAATTTTTCATTACGCAGGAGCAAAAAAAAAAGAGACAGAACGAGAGAGGGGAACATTCCAGGAAATCAAGAAGGCCACGGTTGGCAGAATTGCTTCCGCTTGTCGCGCAAGCATAATTTCGATGCGTCTCGCCGCTTCTCTCGTTGCTTTTTGTTGTTATTACTTTCCAGGTTTCGGGTTTTCGCCAGCAACACCGTTTAATATCCGTAGGTTGTGCATTCAAAGGCCCCTTTTCAGGGTGAACAACCCCCATTGTTCACCCCCGCCCTGTTCAACTCAAAGCTTTCCTTTAAGGTGGCACAAGATTTATGCGGTTTAAAATTAATATTAGCTTGTTGCGGATTAAATGGCCGATTTATTCCGGCTACTTGCGTCGTTGCATAACTTTTGGACCTTTTTCTCTCGTGTCATATTTTTAATTGAAATTGTTACTACTTTATGGCGTAACATTTACAAGGAAGTTGATTGTAAGTCCTAGAATTTCTAGATCTTAAATGTCTAAGATGAAATCTAGTTTAGGAAGAATAAATTTGAAGCAGTGTCTTAAGCAACATCTTGTGTCAATTCAGATTAGTGTCTCAGATTTTGTAACCTAGAGAGAATATTTTAAGCTTAATAATATTCTAAGCAGCCTCTAATGATCTAGTGTCCAGATCTAGTAGTCTAAAGAAAATCTCTTTAAACTCTAACGAAATTTGAAGAACCTACATCCCTTAACTGCAACTCACACTGTACATAGGTGTATAAAACCTCATTGATCATAATTCTCAAACTTTTGACTCTAAACGTCTCATTAATCACGTATAGTGTTAGAAACTGTAACAGAAGGTAAAGCATTCGTGAGACACGTGAATGATCGTCCCTCAAGATTAAGTGCTCGCATGCTCGCAAGATCACAGGGCAATGCGTATTCCGTATGCCCGTTGTACCGGAATATATTTTATCTACGATAGCTTATAGTCGCTTAAATCTTAAGAACGAAATAGAGCATGACGTTTTGTGCCTCCATCCTGGATATTTTATTTTCCAATCTCGAACCACGTTTCTCTGGTCTACAATAATATCTACATATCTGCTGTTACCGACACGCGTTTCTTCTAAGTGATTTATCGTAGAGATATTTTACGAATATGTGTTCACATGTCGGATTGCACGATTTCAACCTTTTCGAATGACTTGTGAGAATAATGGGAAATTATTTGTTTTTCAGGAGACGGATTTTATCGGGACAATAATCCTGGAGATTTTGGATACAGTAATTGGTGAGTGAATTTTGAATTTTTACATATTTTGGACACATTTGGTATGCGTTTTTATTTTTGGTATTTTTGGTTTGGATTGTTCTAATTGGACACTTTCATAGGAGATGTATATGTATACATTTTTAAAGTTAATTTTGTTAGGAGAAATCAACCCTCTTCGAATTTAATGATACAATTATTGTAACGACTTATATATTTCATGATGGGGTTTATTTAAATTGGGTATATTGTACAATTTATCTTAACAAGAAGCAATTAGATCCATAATAGGAGCTAAATCTTAGATGTAAAACATTTTCAGTCTCTCCTGAGAAATCTCTTCCTACTTGTACCATAATAAGTGAAACACTTTATGTATCTCATAAATGTTACTTCCCTTATACACATTGTAACATAGATGTACAATTAATCTAAGCAACAAACAGTTCAGGTCAACAATAATACTAAATGTTAGATCTAAAATGTATTTCAGTCTTCCCAAAGGATTTCACAATGCCTTTCTCCCGCCAGATCGACGATCTAAACAAATCGTCCGTTAATTTCCTCATAACCGGGTAACCCTTGTAACCCGCTTTTAACATTAGCATTCAGGCGCATCGCGTTAACCCTTGAAAAAGGCCGGTGAATGGGGCTGATAACAAAACTCGTCTGGACGAGGGATATTAATGCTAGCGCGAAGACGGCTTTAATAAGTCCGCGACGTAATGAAAACCATTCATATAAAAGTTTTCACCGCGAGGTGACGCTTTAATTGAACGCGGACCACGAAGAGGTCTCCCTCTGCCTTCTTTCTTATGCCGAGCTGTAACAAGATGTCAGAGATTACCCTGGCTCGCTTTCCCTCCCGCCATCGCTTTCTTTCTATCTTTCTTTCTCCTAGCTTTTCTTTTCTCCGCGAATTCACCATTACTCTCTTCCGTTGGCTCGCCCTCCCTACGGCTGTGATTTTCATTAAAAATTTTCTGTTGGTCGAGCCGATGGAGAGAGAGTCACTTCCTCTGTAACGTTTCAACTGATATCGAGCGTGCCATTCAATCGGGAACAAAGAGGAGGGAATCGTGGCCGGGGACTTCATCGACGAAATCGGGCCGAGGGTTTTTCTTCTCTGACTGCGAGGTATTAAAGGATCCCTCTGATTGAAGGTGTAAATGCAGCCTCGATGGGAAATTTTCTGACGATCTACGAATTCGCTGCATAATCCCCCTGTTAGTTTTCTGTTAATGGACGCCATTCTGTTCATGTACTTTCATACGTTTCGAACTTTCTTCAATGCGATGTTTTGTGAAGAACTTCTACTTTTCTGAGGGACAACTTCCATTATAGAGAAGTTGTATTGTGAATGCCTTTAGAGGGAGTTCAAGAATAAAATAGTTTTTATTTATACTAAATTGTGTTGTGGGTATTCAGGTTTGAACCACTTCTACATAACCTCATATGTAACATAAGGTTACATACATACACATATGTAACACAATTTGATATGTAGACTGAACAGGAGTTAAATAAACATTACATTAACTATTTTAAATTTTCAAATGTTTAAAATGTCCTGCTATAAATTTTTATTTTCGACGTGAACAAAGTACATTCATTTTCCATCTTAAGGACATACATGTATTTCATACATATATTTAGTACATGTATGTTCTTAAGATGGACATAATACATATATGTATTAAAACATGTATTAAGGGCATTTATAGTCTACAATCCTATTTAGTTTTTTAGTAAAATTCTTACATAATCAATTTTTAAAAAAATTGTTCAAATTTATTAAATAGTAAAATCAAACCATGAATCATTCTAAAAATTCTGAAATGTAATATTCCTAATTTCTGTTAAAACAATTCCAATAAAAATGACCAATTTATAATTTCATACAAAGAATTAATTCTTCCCGATTTATTCTCTAGCCTAAGAATACAGCAATTTGTATTAAATTTTATACTTTTCCAACACTTCTTCCTGTATTAATTTTCCTCTTTTTCAAGGGAGTTTCTTCGTCCTGATGTGTCACGTTAATTAATTAATTTCACACACACACAGATTTTTCCACGTTTTCCAGAGGAACGCTTCTCCATTTCCGCAGCTTCATTCCAGTGTCTCCTCGATTTTCCACGGTTGGATCATTAATTTTTCATCGGTCGGTCCGCGTGCGAAATGAACGAGGTTTACCGATTTTTACGTCCTCCGTTCGCTCTCGTTTAATGAGCTCGATTTAATTACGTGCTTTTGAGACGGTTCACTGGACGAATTTCTACGTTTCAGTTTTATTTGCGATGTTCTTGCTGCCTTGAATCGCTCAGACGCCCGGTACTGCATTAGTTGTGACACATAATTGCCTCGTTTTATGCTAGTTAATTGCCTGCTCAGGAAATGATGTTTGACTGCGGTGTTAGTTAAACAAATTTGTTCGACATTCTTAAGACTTCTTATATATTCATATATTTTTCATAAAAAGAACTTCATTCATAATTGCACTAATTCCATTTTGTAAATAAAATTCGATTTTTAGTAGGTTTTAAATGTGACTTTTCATTATGATCGTAAGTGTGTTAATAATATTCATTTTTGAAGGTATGGTGTTTTAAAATAATTCCTCTCTTCAAATTATTTGAAGTATTAACTTTAATTATGTAATTTAATATTTCAGGCAAATGGAGTATTTCTGTCGAAGTACATTTTAATACTTCAAATAATTTAATGTATGAAATCTCACATGTGTGATTATTAACTCCTAGTTGTATTAATTCTCACATGATATTTATACATTTTCCATATTTTACACATATTCAACAATTTATTTCTTACATATACATATTGATATACATATGTGTAACATATGTATATCATTAAATTTGCATATTTTTTCTTCACAAGTATAACATGATTAATAAAATATATTTATATATGACTGATAATATACATTAATTTTGGCAGTCACATATCAACAGCTCAATAAAACCCCACATCAAAAAATGGACACCTAAACTCCAATATATTATACCTCAAGTAAAAAGACATTGAATTCAATCACAAATTTAAGAATCGACTTGCAACGTCAGACTAGGTGCACGAATTTGCATAAAGTTGTCGCGTGCAACGGTAATCGTTTGTATCCGTGTGTGTACTTTGATAGCCTCCGATCAGTCGTGTGTTTCGAGAGATACGTACACGATACGCCCACCATAGAGTATTGGTGTTTACCGGCGACACGTGTTATTCCCTATGGGACGTTTGCTGGCCTGTGTGCCATTGTGTGTGCGATGCGTTCGAAATTGACAATGCACCAGCTCGAACATTTCCTTCATTGAATTACTCTTGTGACTTGAATGCTTCAGCGCTGAATTATCGAGCGACGCTATATAGGTCCTTTGGACCTTGCCTGTTATTTCATTATTATAGTTTCTTATTAAATTAGGAATTTGGGAATTTTTTATTTTGGGTGTTGGAAATTTTTGTGGAGGAATTTGGAGGGTTAGGGGGCTGGAAAATTAGGAATTTGGGGATTTGGGAATTGGGGGGTTTGGAAATTGGAGGATTTGGGAATTAGGGGATTTGGAAATTGGGGGATTTGAGAATTTGGGGATTTGGGAATTGGATGATTTGGGAATTGGGGGATTTGGGAATTGGGGGATTTGAGAATTTGGGGATTAGGGAATTGGGGGATTTGGAAATTGGGGGATTTGAGAATTTGGGAACGTGGGGATTTGGGGTCGTGAGAATTTGGGGATTTGGGAATTGAAGAGTTTGGGAATTGGGGGATTTGGGAATTGGGGGATTTGAGAATTTGGGAACGTGGGGATTTGGGGTCGTGAGAATTTGGGAATTTGGAAATTTGGGGATCTGGGATTTGGGGATTTGGGAATTGGGGGGTTTGGAAATTGGAGGATTTGGGAATTAGGGGATTTGGAAATTGGGGGATTTGAGAATTTGTGTACGTAGGAATTTGGGTACGTGGGAATTTGTGGATTTAATAATTCGGTAAATTAGGGATTTGAAAATTTAGGAACTCGAAAATTGACCAATTCGAAGATCTCGGAAATTTAGAAATTTAATTATTTGGAAACATAAAAATTCATAAAAATATGAAAGTGACTAAAACAGGAAAATCATAGAACTAACAATTTCAAGAAATTTTAAATATCAGAAGTTTCCAAAACTTTCCACCAAAAACTAACAAAACATAACTGTACCCAAAAACATCTTTCCCCTCCATTTGTAAAGATTTTAAAAATATATTTTGGCAAAAGTATTTTTTTATTTCCCCAACTGTGCAATTTCCACGTCGATACAGTGAGAGGCACACACGGTTAATTTCTGGTAATTATTCTTCGTCCACAGGGATGGCTCGTATTTCAAGCGTAAAAAAGTTCCACCGTAGACAGTTGCGGTTGCATTTTCGCGAACTCGTGTTTCGCAACAAAGAAGTGCCAGGAAAAATATTAAAAACGTGCCAGGGAACATGGTTAAACGCATAATTCACACTCATGCCATCTTTCTTCATTAAAAGACAGGGGTTAATTAAATTGTCCGAGCGTACATTCCATTAGAATGTCAAATAATAGTCTGGACGTTTCTCGGACTTTTGTTGAATTCCAAAGACGCGTAAACACTGTTAGGTGTTTTATAACAAGAAATTCTTGTGACCTGAGGAAAATTTCAGTAGTTGACAGAGGGATTAGGATTATGACGTGGACGTGACTTGTTCCGTATTTTTCGGATATAGATTGATGATAATCCTCTCTCCTTGGTAAATTGTTTGCTTGGTTTACTCTGCGGATAAAAATTTAGGGTTAGAAACAACAAATTTACTACATTTTTTTTTTTAAATTAAATTTCGTGTGATTTTATTTGTTACGATGAAAAGTTTTTCTTAATATAATTTTGTTAAATACTAAATATTAATCTTGTGTTAATAAATATTTTTTAATAACCTCAAATTTTTATTCCCCTACAAATTGTTGTATTAAATTGAATGAATGTCATCTCTCGAGAGC